TTTTCTCTTCTTTTTTTTTTTTTCTTTATGATCAAAACAAATTAGTATACCTAAATGTTTAGCACTGCACTGCCATGAAGATTTGTGCTAAATACTTGTCGCTGTTATATTTTCTCATTAACAACATAATCTCTTAAATTAAGAGCAACTCTCCTAAATTTGTATTATATTTGCTATTTCTTATTCAGTACAAATCAAAACTTATCAGCTGTAAATTTTTTCTATAACTTTTCGAATTTTTTTGGCACACTTAATTTTTATAGCATTTCAAGAAAAGTAGACGCCTTATTCCCGAACGCATCATTTGGAAGTATTTTGTGCAATTAGTGCGTGCACTGGAGCACATGCATTCAAAACGAATCATGCATAGAGGTACGTTTAACTTATACTTAATGGTAAGCTAGTTATAAATTAATTGTAACAAAATAGTCTTCTATTTTTTACCCATTTTCATTACATCTTTTCAATGCATCTCGTTATATCCAATGTTCTTCTGTACGCTTTTTGTTATCATACAAGACCAATATTTCTTATATTAATTTGATGTACTGTGTAGATATCAAACCAGCAAACGTATTTATTACTGCGGATGGTGCCGTCAAGCTTGGTGATCTCGGACTTGGTAGATTTTTCAGCTCAAAAACTACAGCGGCACATTCTTTAGTTGGCACACCATACTATATGAGCCCCGAAAGAATACAAGAGAATGGGTATAATTTCAAATCAGATTTGTGGAGTATTGGTTGCTTACTGTATGAGGTAGGTTGTTGTATATCGCCATTTCTCCTAAAATTTGAATGCATCATTGTTTTCTTTTCTACTTATCATTTCTTGAAGTTTGATCTAGATATCATTTCTTGAAGCTGGAATAGTTGAATAATAGCGAACTTAAGCAAAGATAACGATCAAATGTTGATCATAAAATGAAAATGTGAATTGAATGATCAAAACCTGACGAATGGATGAAGTAGTGAATAATTTAGAAATTGTCATATGTGATAGGCTGCTGATCATTTAGTTCATTACCTTACATTGAATGAATATTTTGTGTTCATGTTTTTCCATATTTAATGTTTTTTTTCTTTTGCAGATGGCTGCATTACAGTCACCATTTTATGGTGATAAATTGAATTTATATTCACTTTGCAAAAAGATTGAAAATTGTGAATATCCGCCTTTACCAGCTGATATTTATTCACAACAGGTTTTATTCTGATTATTCTGAATATATTATGACAATTTATTTTTCGGAACAGCTGTACTTACTGTTTGCAATTATCAAATAGCATAATAACCTTAATTTTATCGGTCTGTTACAAAAGCAAGATTTGTTTTCAGTTGCGTGACTTAATATCTCGATGCATTTGTTCGAATCCGAGTAAGCGCCCTGATGTTGCCGAAGTACTTAATATTTCAGAGCAGATGAATGCACACTTTCAAGTAAATATTGTTCATTATCTTATCATTTTCTTAACTTTTTATTTCCCATGTCTAGAAGTCCTATCTTTTTTTTTCTTGACTTATGATACAACATTATCTTTGTTGCTGAGACTATAATGAATGTTTTATTTCCGTATGTAATTTACTAATTTCAGTCAGAAGGAGCAAAAACCGTTATAAGATCACATCATCGGAATCGAGGTGATACTGATTCAAGTACAGGAACTGTCGTTACACTTACTTCTTAGTATATGTATTTGAAGAAATTTTTTTTCGTGAACTATATATTCTTTCAACTACTTTGTTTAAAACTCTATGCTTCTTATTAAAGATATGGACGAGAAGTTTCCACTATCATTCTTATATGCTATTAAGATATCTACGTAGTTGTTTACTAAAACATGGTTATGTATAAACTTTAGATTTTAATTAACCAGGAAAGCATTTCTGCTTGTAAAATGAATTATTTAATGCTTCAAATATATTCATTTATATTTGAAGTCTAACAGTATTAGTTTAAGATACTAACAGTATCTTAAATCCATATTCTTTATCTAATCTATTTCTGTATACTTATCTGTTATATTGAATGATACAACAATTCCAAAAAAAATTATTATTTTTCATATCGGTTTTGTCCGTTCAAACTTTCAGAAGAGGGAATTGCACAAGCTCATTAAAATTTACTGTCCAGTTTGCATCACTCATCTTGTACACGAATATGTATGAAGGCTGTGAAATTTCATTTTTACTTTTGTAAATTCATTTATCTTGTATTATTTTATCGACTTCAGCAGTTTGCGGATTTGCTGGTTTTGGAAAGTAGAAATAAAAGAGGTGAATTCCACGTCGTCGATGGATTCTTTTTATGTTTCATTGCACATTCGAAATTGAAACTTTTCGTTAATGCTTTAAATATTTACACCAAGTATTCAGCATTGAGAAGATTTAAAAGGTCAATATCAAAATTTCAGAGGTAGATTTGGTGGAAGATATTTTTAAATTAAAACACCAAAAATTGCTATGTTTTACAGCTTAATGGATGTAGTCTCTGATTTAATATGATTATTCATATTTTTCTTTCTTTTGCTGTATTTGACCTGGTTTTTTGTCAGCATTGCAGTTGGGTTGATGCGATAACGATACGTAAAGCTGATATAAAGGTTTTACTTTGTAAACTTTAAATGTATAACATAGCGCTTTGTTTTTGATGTCATTTGTAGAGAGTTTTTTCATTTCAAAAGAATATTTCAATTAGTGGCTATGGTTTTGTTTAATCTATAGTATCTGATTTCATGGGAGTGGTACCGGTCTCCATCGGCACATTAGGATGGATGTCAGCATTGGCAGTTCAAATCGGTTTATGGATTGTTTAATTGCCTATAAGTTTATGATTCCTGCAGGTGCATATATCGATCGTGATAGGTATTCAATTCATTTGTTTCATTAATAATATAAAAGAGAAATTTTCAAAACGATTCATGATTATATTAATGTCTCGTTGACTTTTCATGCTGATTTTTCACATTATCACATTTAATAATCTTTTGTTAACATATAGTATACTCTTCTCATGCTAACAGACGATTCTATTTTCTAAACTTTCTTAAAACCTTAAAGAGATTCTGGCATATCACGATAACTAATTTGCTGTTTCTATACAATCGTTTTGAGTAATTTGTAGTAGTGGGAATAAGTTTGCCATATTTTAGTATTTTTGAAATATCGGTCTTAGCATGCCGAATACTGTAATGTTACAAACATTAAAGCATTTAATACCATATTTTTACTGATGCATAAAAAAGAACAAAACTCTTCCACTTCCATTTTCTGTAAGAATGTCCAGAAGTAGTATTGCAGTATGAAAGAATACCCAACTCATGCATGTGCAGAGGCATCATTTGACGTTGAAGCTCCAAGAGAAAAATCGGAAAATACGCCACTTTATATTTGTTCAAAACGAGGATTAAGAAAAAATTTTGTTCACAGAGAGCATTTTGAATTACCAATACATTTACGTTATCATGCTGCCACCGGAGAAGGTTTATATTATTATTATTATTATTATTATTATTATTATTATTATTATTATTATTATTATTTTTTTTTGAACCATTGAAACAGTTTGTTAACATTAAATAATCACCGAGTATTATGTTTATTACATTCATACTTGATTTTATCTTTTACGTTGCCAATTATCGAACTGTCCTATTTCATTCATGATATTCTTCGAATAAGGAAGAAATATATTTGCTTATACTGCTTAATAAACTTTAATTTCAGATGCTGTAGTTACAGTGCAAGCTCCACAACTACTTCTGAGATGCATGGAAAATTCCACTTTTCTGACCAGTCACTGCAAAAAATATTCAGTTAAAGTATGAATCAGAGCTAGTTTTGTGATATATTAAAGTTTTTTAATTAAATTATTCTCATCATTGATGTGACTTATTGTCTCCTTTTTGACCATCACCTATAATGATAACCTGTATGTGATAAGTAACTGTTGACAATTATCATTGTTGGCAGTAGGAAAATTATTTGAACTATATTTATCTGCAAATTCAAATTGTAAACATTTCAAACAATTTGTTCTTTTTTTGTTTTTTGCAGGCGCCTTGTGATTGTTTAAACGAATCATACTGCGAATGGTTGATGATACCGTTATTAGAGTATAACACAGTACAATTCAAAGTACCAACTGGAAATGCATCTTCATTAAAATTTGTTTTATTCATTACTATTTTCGTTGTTATTTGCTGTGCTATAACAATAGTTATTGCTACAATGAAAAATGTTGTCAAAGTAAAAGTCAAGTAATATATCCTTTTCAGATCTCATCTAATCGATACATTCCAAATAAAGAGCTGTTCTAGGCCTCTTTTTCTGGACTTATAGTCTATTACCATGTGACAATTTTTAATATCATTTATCATTAATTAATGCATTTTGAGATTATGAGTAGAATCTTTGAACTGTACGTACATGTGTTCCCTTTATATTAGTATCTTCTCAAATTATTTTTGTTGTAAACCATTATTTATTAGCATCAAAGATTTTCATTTCCAGAGAAAGCGGCAATTTTTGATCAGATACAATTAGGCTCAGTAAAGTAGTGATCATTGCTAAATAATAGATTAAGCAATCGGAAAGCAATTTATCATATGATTTTTCATAAAAATAAGCAGATATACACACGAGATTAAATCTCAAAAAAAAAAAAAAGAAAGACGAGACTCATTGTACATAGCTAGTTCAAAGATGCTGAAAAAGGAAATAAGTAAGTTAATAATTTATTCAAACCTTGAACGAATGTTTAGTAAACGAATGGATCGAAATGTCGGTCGGTAAATATATTGCATCAAATAATCATAATTTGCCTGATAATTATGTATTTCAAATAAACATCAGAAATAGAGGATTTTATCTTATATATATATATATAAGATATGGCAGTGCAGCTGTATTACTATTATCGGATCAATATTACTTATTTAATTGTTTTTCTTACGAGAATAAAATGGTGACAAGCTGTAGGTGTTACAAAAATTGTGATGCTATTTGGACAGATAACTTGCAATAAAATTCAGTGGGTTACTGTTAATGGTCGATTCACGAATGCATTCGTACCATCTGGAATTTGAATAATTTGTATTTTCATATTTAATTTATAATTTTATTCTTTTTTTTCGACATAAAATTGCAAACTTTTATTTTTCTCCAAAAATAACAAATTGCACTCCTTAAAGAATGCCTTTCAAATTTAACATTTATTTTTATTTGGAACATTATATAAAATTTCATAGTCCAATTTAAGATTTTATTTTAAGATTTTAGAATTGCTAGTTTAATATGTAGAAGGAATTTAATAGAAGATAAAAAGTAAGAATTTTATTATCATATAACTCCAATAGCTAAATGAAAGTTAGAATCGAATTAATGACATATCTGAACTATGAAATAAGCAATTAAATTCTGATAGAAACAAAAATTCGTTAATAAACTTACTTTGAAAAAGCATACAAACTATCTGCTCGAAAAAAATAACAATGTGTATTATACGACAGTTTGAAAACATTATCATAATCAATTTTATCATTAAGCTGTGGTAACGATATGTGATAATTGATAATTGGTAATACCGCTACAGCTTCTTTCTCCTGAAATTCATTCTATTAATAAATAATTTTAAGGTCAACTATTTAATGATTTATTTCGCTCCACTGATTGATTGATTGATTAGATTATCTGATCTAATTTGAAAGTTTGTTTCATGCTAAGTTTACATCACTATTAAACATATTTTTCTTATAAATAATATTTTAAATTGCCATATTCAATTATTGTAAATTTGTCACTTAGTATACTGTTGCATTGATATTATTACCTGATGTGATCGAAAGAATGTAAGTGCAAAATTTGCATGCACAACCCAAAATTTTTGCCATCCTGCAGAATTACGGAATTTACGTAATAAATATCCAGACATTTGATTAGCTGGAGCCTAAAAAAAAAGGGTAGTTAAATAAGGTGATTTAAAGAATAAGATAAATTAAAAGTTAACTTCCTCAAACTTGAAAAAATGGAGAATAATAAATGTATTTAAATCAATTTCTAGAGATTAAAATGTAATCCTTTTAAAATAAAATTTTTGAAAGATCAATTAGAATAATATATTAATTAACCGTAATAATTGCATTAATTCCTAAAGTAGCATGACGATGCCAACATACATCCAATGTACTATATGGCATATTTGTAATAATTTTTGTGCCTATAAAATTAAACAAACTGCAACAATTGTACTTTTCTTTTAAAGTAAAAACATGATTTAAATTTTATAGAAAAAAAAAATTTATACTTTTATTAGAATTTGAATATTCGAAAAAATTTTTCAATTTCCTAAATTTACAGCTATTACTTAATAGCATAACATATAATTTATTTTTTTATGATATAATTTTAAATTGTGATATAATTTAAAAAGGTTTTACAGTAAGTACTAAACTGTAAAAATGAAAAAAGATTAAATATTAAATTATAAAAATGAAAAATAACAACAAACCAAACGCATTAGTTGGTTCATACTTTTCCCACATATTATGACTGTGCGCAAATTTATCATTTAAACTTCCTTCCGTTATTACTGCAATTAACAAATAATTAATTATGTAAGAAAGCAGAAATTTTATGCATTATGCTGAAAGTGAAATATGTGTTTCTTTTTGAACAATAAAATAAATAAATAAGAAAAACTGAAATCAAATTTGATAACAATAATTTAAAAACAAATTTGAGAAATGATGCAAATGACTGTAGTAATTTTTCAATATTCCTATCATTGTAAAGTTTGATTTATATGAATTGGATGATTCTTTTTGAAAATTAGTAATCATCCAATCGTTTTAATTTAATCCATTTACTAATGGAATTTCATTGTTGATAATTTTTAAATTACGAAAATACTGAATTATTTTACTTTTTACTTTTTGTACCCAAAAAAATTGAGTAAAAATTAAAAGTAACCAAAAGTTTCAGTTTGAGGTAATTCTTCAATATTGGAATGTTTAGCATTTCGAATAGCTTTCGTTAGTTCTTCAAGCCAAAGATCTCTCATTCTTGTACAATCACTAGATAACAAGAATGTACGATTAACCGCTTTTATGGTAAGACAAATAGTTGAATCTGTGACAACATGCAATGCATCACCTTCTTCTACCTATAAATATGCTAAATTAAAAAAAAAAAAGTAACAAAACTAAATTTTAATCATGCACAAGAGCCAAATATGACTTTAAAAAAAAAAAAAAAAACGTTTACCGTCATTGCACGTAACGGTAGAAAAGCATTACGTATAAAACCATCCGTTTGTGATCGGTAAGCAAATAATAATGCATCATTAAAAAGTATAATAGCATGAGGTATAAAACCACGTTTCGTCCATTTACATAACCAACCTTGGCGTATGAAACGCTGAAAATGAAATTTTAACTTTACACGGCGAAGTATACTTGCAAAAACAAATCAAACAAAAATAAAAAATTAAAAAAGAACTTAATAGTAGACAAATATTTAACTTTTAACTGTGTTTTGGAAATTCTGTTAAAGGTGCCATGAATTACAGTGTTTTCAATTACAAATGATATCAATGACGTGAAAATGTGAATCTTTAGACCATTGTCAAATTTAATTAATTAATGTTTGTTTCAGTTTTGTATTTTAATGAAAAATTTTTGTTCTATTGCAAATTGCAAAAAAAAAAAAAAAAAAAAAATGGTTGTTTTACTTCAGTTAAAATACTACAATAAATTATTTGCAATGATTCAATTAATTAATATAAAATTTAAGCATATCAATTCGTGAAAGTAAAATGTGTGAAATGGACGAAATTAATTAAAATAAAATGTATATGAAAATAATTGAATGAAAAAAGATATAATTTATATGTGAGATTTATGATGAAAACGTTGAGATTACTCGATTTGGATCGGTTAATCCATCAACAATATTTAAATCATTTCCAAGTTCAACGAATTTTGTAAAATGGACCAATCCTTCCAGCGTTAATTTTTTCTCAGTGTTAAATGATGCAACCTAAATAAATGTTTGTTAAAAAAAAAAAAAGAATATTAAAGAAACACTGAAATCATATTCGAATGGCTAATCATTTTAGAAAGTTCATCTAAAAAATTATGTTAAAAGTTTACTCTCATAAATAATTAAATTTAATTTAATTTCATTATGAACCTTTTCCACAGCAACTCGACAACTACTTAGCTGTGATGCTATCTTATCTTCATCACTCTCTTCCAGAAGTGCAGCAATCATTCTTCCAAGCAACTAAACTGTACCATTAAATTATATGCAAAATTTCCTCAAAATTTAAAATGAATGATTAAACCTTTTAACTTTTATTTTGTACTATTATATAATTATAAGTTTACATTACTTTCTTTTTAAGCACAATAAATTTTAGTTAAAAAAAAAAACTTACATTTTGCCATACAACCATACGATGCACTACTTTCAGCATCAAAAAATTAATGCTACAACTGTAAGAATTTCTCATTTGAAGTTTAATGAGAGAATCAGCAAAAGTGCTATTAATACGAGTTAATTCATCAATAGCTGCCAAATAAATCGGAGAACTTTGTACAAATTTTCTGTAAACAAGAAAAGATATGAAAACATAATTATTGATTATTTGATAGTTTTATTTAATTTAAATTTGCCATTTTTGTTTAATATTCTATTTGAATATGTGTGCATGTTTGCAGTAGAAGACTAAATAATACGCCTAAATTTAAAAAATTTACTATTTTATTTCAAATTGGTTATCAATTTATTGCAAACTGCAAAAAATTAATTGAAATTTATTTGATAGAACACTATTGATAATAAGTAAACAGAAGATGATGGTTAGATAAATAAAAGTAGGTAAAGCAGTTGAAATGTTTGAAATGCTGAGATAAACAAAAAAAGAAAAATCACCCTATTATTTCAAAGAAAGAATGATTTGTAATGATTCAACAATATACATAGTTTTATCAATTAAAAGTAGACGAAAGCATAAGGACAAAAGCGCTTGGTTGCATGGTGATATTACAAATGCGCTTTTGGGATTGTTAAATTACTAACATATCTATTGAATAAATTTTAATATATTTTCTCAGTCAAAAATTAATATAGCTATGAAGGCAAGAAGAGAAAAGTTCAATGGAATTAGTGATAAATGAAATGAAACTAACCGATAATATTGCAAAGCATTATGTACCGAACATAACAGAAGATCTCCAACTAAAGGTCGTTCCGGATTAGCATTTCTTAAGCAATCTGCCCTAAAATTCTATTATACACTAAACAAATTGCAAAATCACTTTAGCATGGATGAATTATTCATGTTAATTCTTTCAGTTAAATTGTAAATTTTTAAAAAACCTTTAAATTCGAAGTTTTTTGTTAACATTTGAAGCATTGCTAAAAAGAAGAAAAGAAAAAAGGATACGTATACCAATTCTTGATGACAACTTCCAACGTATCAAGATGATCATTGTGAAATCGCTGAAGAGAATTCAAATCAAGAAACAAATCCACTAGTGCTCTTCCGCATGATAATGCTCTTTCCGGTAATATTTCATAAAAATCCTATAAACAGAAATTTTCGGTGCTAATTCATAGATGCCAAAAGCAAAAGCTAATGAATGATTCATTTAATAGTTCATAAGTGAGTGTAAATGAGTTTTTAATGCTTATCAAGCAATGATAAATATTTGTAAATAAAAATATATAATAAGTTAATACTTGGTTGCATCATTCTAATTTCAATTAATTAAATTCCACTACATGTAACTTAAAAGGTTAAACATTAATTTTATAATAGATTATATGTTCTCTAAGTATAAAGCAACAAATGTTACACTACCATCAAATCATCAAGTAAATTTATGAAAATTAAAAAATAAATGTAGTAAATAACCTCTGTAAGAATTTTTAGATCGAAAACAGTTGTCCTTTCTAGCATAACAATATCTTTAAGTACATCAAAACACTTCGGATTCATCTGCTAAAAATAAGTTTCAAAAATTTGAAAAAATTTTCAATAAATTCTATTTTAGGAATTTACATAATAAAAATTTATGATCGATCTAAAAAATTTTCTGTGACTGATCCGAAGATCCGGAAAATTGGCAAAGAAGCTACAAATATAGCATTAAGTGTATTGATTAAAGCTATTTGGTCCTACTTTTGGCATAAAAATATGCTCAAAATCTTGGCTCGAATATGATTCTAACATTGATTGCTGATCATTGATAACGTCTTCACTACTTACTGATCGATAAAATGGATAATTCTTTTCATCATTCTCTAAAAAATTTTAAACAAATTATATGATATACAATATAGTATGATAATAATATGATATGATAATAATATGATATGATATGATACGATTTTAGATGATATGGCATGGCATGATGCATTATAGTGATATAATAATGAATGAATAAACGATTTATCAGAAGACCTATGACACTGTAAATAATCATCTTGCATCTGCCAGTTTTGTTCATTCAACTCGATAGAGTTTTAAAATTCTTTTAAAGATGAATTATTTATTATTTTAAGACTGCAAAAAAAAAAATCGAATATCAATTTAAAATTTAAATGCAGCACTTGAATACTTATTTTTCTCTTTCTCTCATTTTTATTCTGTTTGATTTCAAAAAGATTACCTGTATGTGATCGTTTTGAATCGCTGTCGGAGATTGTTATTGCACCACTATCACTTGATTCATTTAATAATGTTGCACTGATCAGCTTAGAATTCGGATTTAATATGGATCTAGTTATAAAATAAATTTAATTTTAATAGCTTGTTTTAACTATTTAAACAAAATCAATAGTATAATAAATAAAACAAAATTTTCATTATTGATGGTACCATTTTAAAAGATACCAAATTTTTATAATGTTTCCATATATCATTGTATTTTTTTTTATTCTGATAGAAGTGAAAATATTCAATTAAAAATGTGGTAATAATCAAAGATAAATTTATTCATACTGTTTTTGCTCCATTGAGTTGATAATAAAATCATCAACAGTGGTTGAATTGATACTTTGCTTGATAACTTTTGACAGACGAACTGGTGAATAATCCGATTCCGAATCATCGTCATCATTATGATCATTTGATACTGAAATAGCCCATTTTTAAATATCTCCAGAAATATTTATGGATGAAATAAACATTTGAAATGAAATTTCAGAAATTTGATTTTTGACAAAAGAAAAGGAAAAAAAACGCCCATCAGAATAAAACATTTAATAAAAGTAGCTAAAAATTAATAATTTCTAAATTCTGAAAGCAGAAAATAGTAACTGTTCTTATTTCAAACTCTTGAACAAATTAAATTCAAATTCTATGCATTTTCTCGAGTCATTATTTGCAATATTTTTTTTTTTTTAAATATCACAAATCATTTCAAAAGCCTATTAAAACGCATTATTATATTACCACTGGTCTGCATCTATCCTTTCAATTAAAAGAAAAACAAATTTTGAAATTAATTGCTATAAAGAAACATTCGTCGACAAATTTTTTCTTTTGTTGTTCTTTTTTCTTTTTTGAACTTTCCACAACTCAAATATAGCTAATAAAATTAATCAAATTTCACTGCTCAATTTTAATTTCCATTCATCCAACATTGAAACTATTCATTTTTAATTAAATATCCATGCAGATATTTCTGATGAAGGAAACATTTGACACAAAATTTCAAAATTTTGATTTTTAAGAACGAAAAAAAAAAACATGCATTAGTATAAAACATACAATGGAAAAATTATTAGTAATTTTCAAATTTTTTGAATGTAGAAAATGATAAACAGCACTGTGTTTCAGACTTGTAAATAAATGTTACATTTCATTCATAACATTTATATATTTCTCTTACTTTTCTTTTGTCCTCTTTTATGAATAACAAAATGAAAAATAAAAGTTCAAATCAAAGAGCAATCTAATTTTATTACTTTGGACTAAAAGTACTGTATAAAAGAAGGAAAAAAATAGCAATAAATAAATTTAAAAAAAAAAGAATATAGCGGCGCTTTGTGAAATCAATAAAATTTATTTTAATGGGATAATTTGAAATAAAAATGAATGGATTAGATGGACCGTCCATTTTACAGTTTTTACTTGCTTTAAAATTGTCACTCAATACCAACATTTTGAGATGAATGAATAAATAAATAAATAAAATTGGCAGGAAAATTCTTTATTTGTCTTTGTTTTTGTTGAAGAGGAAAAGGAGAATAGAAATATGCAAAAATGAAGTGAAATGAGAATAGATTTACTGGACATATATTCTGCATGTATACTGAATGATCAGCTAATACACAGAAGGATTTGAATCACAGAAGGATGCATGCAAGCATGCAGGCATGCATGCAAGGATGTCAATAAAACCTTAGCAAGATTTAGAAACAAGTAATAGTGTAATTTTTATGAAAATTGGTACAGTTGTAGAATCTATTCTCAGAATTATATCATTAAACAATTGATATTTCAGGATCATAAATGCAGGTGTAACACTTAATACAATAGCATAGAGTATATTAAATCAGTTGTTCAATCAAAAAAATTCAAAAAAACTTTGTAAAATTATTTTATCTTAATTTCCAACCATTTTCTTTTTTACAGCATAATGAATTTTAATTTTGAAAAAGTGCTAATGAAATCAAAGCATCATTAGAGCACTTTGTTTACGGTAAAAATTAAATTTTGCTTAAAATTCGGACACGAAAATGATTAAAATTATTTTAGTATAGTTAAAATAGTGACAATATGAATTAAATTTAGCAAATAAGACTAGAAATTAGCATAAAAATATATTATAAAGAAAGACCTGCATGAACTGAATGAAGAATACATTACCAAATAGCATTACATACAATAAAATCAATGCAAAAAATTGAAATTTCTCAAAAAGAAAAGCAGAAAATAAAATACAGCTCAAGCACTAATTGAAATTTGAACTTTGAACTCAATAAGTGTTATATATTTTTTCGTTTTTTTTTTTTTTTTTTTTCAGTTAAATAAGATGGATTATAGTAGAATATTACTATTAAATTCATTTAATACATAACTTTGATCAAAGAAAAAAATCAATAAGTATTTACAGTTTCACAATTTCAATTTTGACTTTGTTTCACTAAAATCTATTGAATTCAACTTTATAATGATGATCGAATATGCAATCGATTTAATTGAATATTTGGAAAAAAGTCAAACGAACCTTCGCCCCAATTGTATCACAAAAAATTAACATTTCATATCACATCTTTCTTCCTCAAATAATGATTGTAGCAAAATTAGCAATCAATTCAAAATAAACTTTCAAATGAAATCATGACATAAAAAGTAATCAAAATTTTTTGCACAAAAACTGCTTCATTAATCATCTTTACTTCAACTTCAAAGATTTAAGAAAATTTTATTTTTTCACTTTTTACGAATTTCATTCTTTTGATATTGTCTATTCCTTTTTATTTCAAATTGAGAGCGCAAAATTTTAATGATTGAAGGAAAAAGTGAGCAAATTTATATGAAACACACCTATTCCAGGGAATTTCTTTTTGCTTTTTGCCTTTTTTTTTTTTTTTTTTTGTTAGCTTTAAGAATATCATTAATATGGCCTCGAAGAGGAGATTAAAATTGTTTGTTTTTCTTTTTTGATCTCTTTCAATTATATTTTTACTCAAATCATTTTAAAATTTTTAAGTATTATAAATACAATAGAATGTTCTAACAATGGATGATATGAACAATTACATTGATAAGTTATGCAAATTTTTTAATCAGTTTAATAAGCAATAACATATATATTATTTATACATAGCAATATAATTGGCAAAGTCTAATTATTAAAGGATATACCATCGTCATCCACCGGTGAATATTTTGAATTCGTATCATTTCTTTCCTTTATTTCTCTATTACTCTTTTCTTTTCTTTCTTTTTTTTTTCTTTCAAATTATTTTCCATTTTTCTATACAACAATAAATAGCAGAAGCAATAGCATTTTTGAGCAATTTTAACAAAAAAAAAAAAAAAATCAGATTAAATTAAAAGAATAAAATTAACTTAAAAGAATAAGATTAATAAAGAAAAAAAAATGAAACAAAATGATTATATACATACAGTTTACTTACAAATCGTCACATTCGTTCTAAATTTATTTTATTTCAAAAAAATAAATAAAAAAAATGTTAAATACGAAAACTTGTTAATTCAATGATCGGATTCATCCATCTGTACCATAATTCTTTCTTGTATTGAAGAAATTTACAAATTATTTAAGACGAAAGTTAATAGTTAACTTATGGATAGCATCAAACTTTTCATTTCAAATTTCAAAGAAATTTCAAACATAAAATATGTGCGTTAAATCGTACTTTGAAAACAAAAGCATACAGTAGCAGTGGTAGTAGTAGTAGTGACACAAAAGCAGTAGCACCAGCACGGAAAGTTAAACGAATTGTCTCCAACTATCATCAGTGATGTCAATCAAAATACAACAACAACAACAATGATGACAACAACACCAACAACAACAACAACAACAACAACGATGACAACAACAACAACAATACCAATACCAATAATGATGAATAGCAAAGATATGTGTCTGTTCAAAATGGTGGAAAAGAAGCCAAGCGACAAGCTTTCAATCATTTCCATTGTCCAGAGAAAATGTCAATGAGAATCGATGACAATATTAGCAGCAGAGAAACAATAACAACAACAACAACGAAAGCAAAGACAACAACAATAGAGGTAGCAATAATAAAAGAAGCAAACAATAAACTACAAGCAATAATAATATTGATATTACTTTACAAATTAACTTACCAAATCTGTTTAATTTTCAGTGTTTTGCGTATTTATTGGACAATTATTTCAAATTTTATTTAATTTTAAGAGATTTCTCTTAGCAAAAACAATTTTTATCCTTTCTTTTTTTTTTTTACAAAACAACGATAATAACAATGAAAATTCAGCAAAATATTTTTTTTTTCTTGTACATATTAATGAAAAAATTCATTAAGTATTATCATCCAATCTTATAAGAAGCAACAATGAGCATTTATACGTTTTATGATTATAATTTTGGAATTTAAGTAAAAATTTGTCAATTGAAAAAGTTGTTTATATTCGTTTAATTCGTTTGGTTTCATTTAGAATTTTCTTCTTTTATTCAAAATTTGAATTTTGAAATTCCTCATCAAATTAATTTTCAACTTTGTAAAATGATTTCCTTGGCAAGTTTATATGAAGTGAAATTTGCTCAATGTTGATTCTCTACCAATAAAAATGATTAATTATATGCATAGGAAAAGCTCGTTAATGAAAATGAAAGGAGAAGAAAAATGCCAGAAAAAAGCAGCGTAACTTTTAATTATATAATAAAAATTCATATTTTGCTAAATATTTCATTTTATGAATTTTCCAAAGTAACAATAATTCACTCATTGATCAAATCATATTAGCAGCTAACTTCTTATAGCTTAATACTTTTTTCTCGATTCAAGCAAAATTATGCTGCGCCACCAGTTCAATGCACAAACATTGGCTTATAAACAGAATAAATAAGCAATCTAAAAATCAGTCCACAAGACACCGGTAGGCGTTCTAAGTGTTGATGATGTTGCTGATGAAATTTTATTATCCACAGTTTCATCTTTAGAAGCACAAGATGCTCGAGAAGAGGTTGATTCATCTGCGTAGGGTAATGTTTCTACACTTTCTTGCAGGCATGCTTCGGTAATTGGTTCTGATGGCACTGACTGCTTCAAAACAATCGGTAATGATGGCGGAGGAGGAGGTGGCGGTGGTGGTGGTGGGAAATCATCAGTATTAGCTGAATCTGTGAATTCATTTCCGATGATAGTTGTTATCTCGTTACTTCCTGATTGTTCTTTTTTTTCCTTTTGAGTTTCTGAAGATCGTTCCATTTCTCTTTTAAAATCAGAATTAACATTTAGATTTGTATAGATTCGTTCATTCTCTTTCAGATCTTTCGTCATTCTTTCAACATTCTCCATCACATATTTTACTTCATCATCGTTATCATTTAAATTTGGCTGTGATATTGCACCAATCTGTTGTCTTTCAGTTTTCTCATTTGAT